CGGCGAGACAGGACCACATATGATGTACTAAAAAGTGAGCCAACCATGAAACTAAATGGAACCTAACGTGATATGCTGAATGATAAGCAAAGGAACGAAGAAATGGACGCATTGACGAAACATGAAATCACAACACGGACTCCATAAATCAAGGTTTCCGCGACTTACGCATTGTGTCCTCATCGATGACGCACTCGTAAAGAGCGTTCATCGATTTCGGCAAGCAGAAGAAGTCGGCTCCGGTCATTGCGCCATTGTCGTGATCGTAGCAGAAGCGCATGCACGGCTCCTCAACGCCCTTGTTGGAGCAGCATTTCAAGATGTCCAACATATTGGCATGGCAACGCATTGCCGTTGGAAAGCTGGCTACACATTCCTCTTTCAGAAAGGTGCTCGCCAACAAGTTATGAGGAATTCTGCTGCACAAGCTGGATTGACATGATTTCGGTACAGCATTCTTTTGGCAGCAATCGGACACGTCTGTAGATTAAAAGAGAACATGCAATCGGTTGATAAGACGAACTTATTAAAATGACAAATGCCACCCGGAAAATGCATCAACTATTTGTTAAATAGGAACTTGCATAATAGAATTTGTCGCAACTTGGGCTTGTTGTCAGGGCGAATTAGTGGGACGCATTTAGTCCGAAGTCGTCTGTCGTAGTAGTTGACATGATTGCCAGCATCAGACGGTGGACTTGGTACTGATGATGCCGACTACGATGCCGGCGAAACGTTTGAGAATGTGTCAATTCCATTATCTGATGCTGGGAATTATGACAAAGAAGGCTAGGCTTTTTGCTATATCATATTCTTTGGTGGGATTGTCGATGAAGCAAACGTATTTTTGCTATAAAAATCGACTACGTTACTTATTTTTGTATTTGAGTAGAGTTTCGAGACTACCAGTAAATCAGTAATATGCGATTTTTTCACCCCATTTCGTTTAAGGTGATAAAAGTCGAAACTTTTGGGAATGCAAGGAAATGTGAAATTGAATGGAAACATTAGCTCAACCCATTTGATAATGGGAATATTCTACTACCAGTCCTTCATCACCTTAGACGAAATAGGGTGAATACCTCTCATACTACTGATTTACTGGTAGCCTCGAAACTCTACTTTAATACGAAGAAAAAGATAATATTTACTTTTTCTCTATTGACAACCAAAATTTGTCATTAATTATAATTTGCCATATTTTCTAATAACTTCCTCTCTTGAAAGGGATGCCAAAAATATTGGTTATATTTAATTATCGTTCTTAAGTAGGTTTTCGAGACTATCAGTAAATCAGTAATATGCGATGTTTTCACCCAATTTCGTTTAAGGTGATGAAGGTCAAAATTTCAGTCCACTTCAGCCGGGATGAGAACAACTTTTGGGAAAGCATGGCAATGTGAAATTGAATGGAAACGTCAGCTCTACTCATCTGATTGTGGGAAAATTCTACTACCAGTCCTTCATCACCCTAGACGAAATAGGGTAAATACATCTCATGTTACTGATTTACCGGTAGTCTCGAAACTCTACTCTAATGCA